GCCACAGTGGTTTGGGCTGTTATTCCCACCTGGGATGGGTGGGATGGTGGCACCTGTCTGAGTTCCTGCTGTTTGGTAGGGAACATGCTCTGTGAGGGATGGATGCTATCACCTTTTACAACTGTAGCTTTTCTGGTTCATTAAGAACTGCAACACTACAGGTCCTACCATCCTTCTAAAGAAGATGAGTTCTGCAAAGACTTTTTCTCACTAGCAAGCATGGATCAATTCTTCTGCTGGCTAGTTTTGTTTCTGGACAGGATGTCTGTATGGAACCACAGAGGTTCAGTTGACTTTTGTGCCTTTACAGTGTTTGGGATTGGCTCCATCTGTTAGGCAGGTGGTGACTGTTCTTCAAAAGGCTGAGGTGAATGAAAGCAGCTGCTCTGTTGAAGGTTTGCCAGAGTCAGTCTCCTAACAAATCCGTCATTTGCTTCCTTCATAATTGCAAATAAGGCAATCAGGAAGGCAGGCCAAGACAGTAGGTAAAGAGGGAGAAGATGACTGACATCAGCAAGGAGGCATGGATTAGCCAGTAAACCTTCTGCAGATGAGGTTTTACTACTAAAGCTGCTTGATGTATGGTAGGCCCAATAGTCAGATTGAAGAGAAGAGTGAAAGAGAGAAAGGGTTGAACAAAATACTGGTTCAGTGCTGAAGCAGGGGGAAGAGGAGCAAATGATGTACAGGACGTCTGCAAAAGAATATGAAAGCTGAAGAAACGGAAGGTTGACAATGCTAATCAAGCCAGGAGACCCAACAGCATCAAAATCTGTTTTGAAGCTTGGCTGGAGTGATTGTAGAAGCCCACAAAAATGAGGAAACTTTCAGATTTTCTTAAACTATGAAACTTCTTAATTATTTAATCCTTTCCTCTCCCTTACCACCACTGCAGCTGATGCTTCAGAAGAATGTTGATCTGACTCAGAAGTATTGCCTCCCACTTGTTTCCGTAGGCATTTTTTGTTGCATCGAACAAAGGAAGGCACTGGCAGCATGTTTGTTGGGCCTTGCTAGTAGTACACCCACTTTTTTTTTTCCTTCAAAAAGAGCTGATTGCCCAAACACTTACACTTTTGTAGATAAAGAATTCAGCCAAAGAGAAAATATGCTAATAATTTTCTAAGCTGCTAATAACTGTAGTTTACTAAAGTGCAGCAGCATTGTAGAAGTGACACTAATTGCCCTGTTGCATCTTGACTTAGACAGAAATGAACTCACATTCAGAGACTCTGTAAATGTAACAGCAACTTCTGGAAAATCTGGGTCTGTGTGAGTAGTTTAAGGGCACCGTTGTGAATACCGTGTGGCTGACTACAATTAGGTTTGAATGCAGCCCTTTTCCCATTCACAGGTCTTTGTAATATGGTGCAGGCTTTGAAAAGCCTTCTCCCTGTAGGCGGCAAACACAAAGCTGCTGGTGCAGGCTTGTCAAGGAGGAGCAAAAGCAGCCCCCTGGAAAGCTCGCCTCCTTCCACTAAACAGCTGAGGCATGGGACCTGTGTGTATCCCACTGACCCCCTCCTCCAAACCTCCTCCCACCCATGGTGGCTCATCCCAACATGTGCTGTTTTCCCACACCCAGTCACTTATCCTGGGCAGGAGCTGTGGCCTGGACTGTCTTGAAAAGCTTTCTTTTGCCATCTACTTCTGTGCTTAGCTATCTCAGTATCTTCTTCAGGTAATTGATCAGTAGATTGATTTCTGCTCCTCACAGTGATCTTCATTGCCATGACCTCACAAAGTTGTCCCCAGATTCTGTCAGAGCGTTTTGAGGAAAAAAAATCAGTGATTCTTTTAAACATGTTTTTTTTCTTCTCCAAGCAATCCTCACTGGCTTCTCTGCTGTGCTGGAGTCCTTCATGCTTAATTGCTAATCCCTAGCACAAAAAGCTCCTTCAGTAAGAAGCAGTGTTTCCTCATAGGTTTTACTGCATAATTGTCTGTTTTGGTACATAATTATATGTCCCACACTAATTGCATAGACACATGCACTTCCAGAATTACGTGCTGTCAAAAATGCACGCCCTGATTAGACTGTTACATGCATGTGCCTTAATTGTGAGTTATGGATTGCAGCTATGGTGAGAGGATGGGCTCTTACTTGCTAAGAGATTCAGGCATAAAACTGCGCCTGTAGTTCTCTTATTGAACTTGAATATCCAAATATGATGTGAACTGGAGTGCTTCACACATTAGAGCAGTGGTGGTGATGCTTTAAGTTTTAGCTTTCATATTTTCCAGATTCTGAGCTGCCTAGGTGTGTTATTCTGAGCTTCATGTTAAGTGTTAGTGAGCTCTCTTCACAGAGTAGGTAGACAAAACGATTCCTTTCTAGCTTGATACCAAGAACAATCATTACAAGTTTCAGGCCCAAAAGCATAAACAACAGTGGACTGAAGGAGGATGGAATTTCATAATCTGAAGCTATAATTGGACAAATAACCCAAATATGCAGATGGACCAAAACGTACAAAAGTGTGAGACCCCATGACTGGTTGTCCATTTTGTGACCATTTTTAGGTCCATCTTGAGTGTAGCCCTGCCCATGCTCTTGTACTGCCCAAGGTGTATCCTTTAAGGCCTTTCAATAAACACCTACTTTATTCTTAACTCTGTCTAGCCTCTGTTCTAGGTCAGCCTTCTCAAGGCATCAGTGGAAATAGACATGCTTTAGTGAATGCAGTCCCTGGGACAATCAGGTGTATTTCCAGCTCCATGGTGTGCAGGTATGGAAAGCACAGGAGCAAGAGGCCCTTCAGCTCTGGTTTGGTTCTGCAGGGAGATGTGTTTCAGTGGCAGGAGAACACATCTTCATTAACTGATTTTCTGTGTCCGTTCAAGATACGCTTTTGTAGCTACAGAGAACGTAGTTAGCTACCAAAGTAGTTGCTTTGATCTGTCAGATTAGAAGCAAATATTAGCAGGAGCCTAATTGCATGCCCATACCTTCTGTGGAAAGGGACAGCTTTCAGTCCTGCACTTTGCACAGACTGCTTTAGGTGCCACCATACTCCTTTTTGCACCAGCAAGTCAAGAAGGGAAGCTGTAACCCCAAATATCAAAAAGGTATTGCAGTCTTAAATCTTGTCACCTGAGTACCTGTTATGTACCTAGAGCTCTGCCAGCAAATCAAGGGCAATTCTTGCCCTTTCAGGTTAAAAGAAGCCTTTATCTATGATATTTTCATTCCATCTGTGCCTACTTGAAAAAGTAAGCACTTTTTATACTTACTCTGTATTTGTTTGCAGAGCATCTGATTTCCTGAATTTATCATTAACAGGACTAAAAGAAACTGGCCACATTTAGGTATTTAAATGATGAAAAATACAATATGCTTTAAGTAAAGAACTGCTGTAAACTTCAGCTGGAATATTTCTAAAGTCAACAGAAAATTAAGAAGTGAAGCGAGTAAAACCAGTGAAGTTTGTCAAGTAAAATATTTAGACAAAAGCAGGTTGTTTGTTTTTAAAGATTTTTTTTCCAGTGTTTAAGCACAATTAGAAAGAAAATATTAATGGCTGAGTCCAGCTTTGTCTTCAACTGTGGATGACTGCATAATTAGACAGAAAGCTCTTCAGAGTGTTTTTAGAGAGAGCTCTTCTGGGTGACTGGCTGTAATCCCTTAAGGTGTGTCAAATGCATTTGACTGCCTATATAAATCCAGAAACAATGTGATTGTTCAGGTCAGTAGTAAGTGCTGTTGTGCTCCCTGTTGATCATCTTCTGCTGCAGTGTGTATTAATAGCATGCTGGATAAGGGACAGCAAGAGGTGACTACCAGACAAAGGTGCCCTTGTTGTTAGCTACTGAGTTCATGGGGTTTGATCAATGGTATTTGCTTTCTGATGTGCCCCACACATAGAATCACATATGGAAAGCAAGACAGAGACCTCAGGTACCACCTTTGTGTTTTAAAAGGTGAGTCCAAGTGAATAATGTATCACTCTTGGTTTTCATTATTTAGGAAGTTAGCAAATGCTTTTTTGAAGAACCATGTTTCCTTTGTCTTTGGTGTTTTGGATTGTTTTTGCCTTTTAACAGTATAGAATTATTGAGAAGTTAATTGATGTATTACCAACTTAATCAGAAGTTCCTTCAGACTTCACTCTCAGGAAGTTCATTAGGCTGCTTGATCAGTAAAATCTGCCAATATATAAGCATATATAGTACGTATTTCAATGATCTCCTTGTGGCCAGAGGCAACACATCAGGGAGAAACATCAATCCAGTACATCTGCACTACAGATCAAAGAAGTGGGAGGAAGGATACCATGGCTGTGGTCCTCGTTGTGCTCCTTGTGGTGCTCTTCATGCTATGGGAGTTGCAGATGCTTCCTGTCTCCCAAGTGTAATTGTGTGTGGGTTTCCATGTGGGACGGAAAAAGACCCCATGTCTTTCCAGCACTGTGTAATTCTACTCTGTGTTTGATGACCAGGATTGAGCCACTGAGAATTGAACGTTCCCTGCCATTGCCACATCATTTGTCCTAACTTGATGTGAATCACCAACTCTTTGGGCACATTACATCTGTTTCTGCAAAGCACAGGCAGTAATACTTTTCATCAGTAGAAACATTATGTGATTTCCTTTAGGTGTGGGAAGCATTTTTAGTGTACCAAGATGATAAGTGTTATGTATTGCATGTGCAAATCTTTGAGTAATCTAAACTGCCAAGGTACTGTTAACTTAGAAATTCAAAGCTTATTCCTAGTCACAGACCAAGACACAGGCATGAACTAATGGCAAAGGGAGAGAATGGTGAGTGGGAGATTCTTAAATGAGAGTTTGTTTTTGTTTTAGTACCTTTTCCAGCATATGGTAAGGTAACTTCCTATTTTTTGTGTTAATGGCTTGCCTTGCTTTCCCACACTCTGAGAGAATGCTTTAATCTCAACTTTAGGAAGTGCTAGGATTTGTTTTCCAAATAGTGTTTGCTCTGCAAAAAAATTAGGTGTTCATTTTTAAGACTTCATAATTTTGCTGTCTTTTATTTTAGAAATCTTCCAGAATCCCTGAGGATGACATCAGGTTAAGAAAAAACAGAGACCAAAACTGTGCCAATTTCTTGGAGCCAGCTACTGTGCTTGCTACAAAGGAAGAAAAAATGGAAATTGAAGTTCCAGTTTCTGAACATAAAAGCATCACCACAGTGGCTTCACCACATCCAATAGACAATCCAACCCACTTCTTTTCCCCTGCTTCCAGCCGAAATGGGCTTAGGGACAGGCATGAATCTCTGGACAGTGAAGTTGCTAAAGAGATCAGATACCTAGATGAAGTGCTGGAGGCAAATTGTTGCGATTCTGCTGCAGACAGTACATTTAATGGGACATCCTCCCCTGAACCAAGTGCAGTCTCCGTTATGGATGGTTCAGAAGCATCTGCTAATGTCAGTAAAGAGTCAGTATCCAGTGAAAGGGAAGAAAATGTAGCAGACAAGCAGGCATCCCTGGAGGTTGAGACATGTGAAGCTAGTATAACAGATGAGAACCTGGAATCTAATGGCCATTTCTTGGGTGGACTGAAAGAAGACACTAGGGAGAGTCTGAAGGTGCCAGGAAGTCCTACTTCTTCAAACAGTTCTAGAAGATCCTCTAAGGATGGAGAAACAACTCTTACAACCCTTAAGAAAGAGGCAAAGTTTGAACTGCGAGCCTTCCATGAAGACAAAAAGCCCTCAAAGCTCTTTGAAGATGAGGAAGAGAAGGAAAAATACAGAGTCCGCAAAGTGAGACCATCGGAAGAAATGATGGAACTTGAAAAAGAAAGAAGGGAGCTCATAAAAAGCCAGGCGGTCAAGAAAAACCCCAGTATTGCTGCCAAATGGTGGAACCCTCCTCAGGAGAAGCCCCTGGAGGATCAACTGGATGAGGAGCATCTGGAGTCTCACAAGAAGTACAAGGAGCGCAAGGAGAGGCAGCAGCAGCAGCAAGGTGCAGCACCAACATCCCCCAAACAGGTCAGCTGCTCATTTGTATCCCCAGAGCCAGTCAATATCAAGAAAGAAGATATTGTCACAGAGCAGATTGACTTCTCGGCTGCCAGGAAGCAGTTCCAGCTGATGGAGCATTCAGGTCTATCTCAGGGTCAGGCCCCACCAAGGCGTTCAGGAACACCCAAAATGTTCTCCATCAAACCCTTCTACAAAAGCCTCAATTCTCCATATATGGACAGGCCGATGTCCTCTGTGACAAGACCCGTTTCAGTGTGTGGACAAACTGGACAGCTGGAGGGTACCAATGCCACAGCTGTCAAAGCACAGAAAGTCTCCTCTAGCTCCGAAGATGACAAAGGCACTCACACTACCACGGCTGACACAGCAAGAGAGTTACCTTGCAGTGATAGCCCCAGAGCTGGACCAGCCTCAAAACTGTGGGCAGAGGATGGAGAATTCATGAGTGCAAAGGCGGTCTTCACAATGGTGAAGGATGATGGACAGGGAATTCTAGATCACTTCCCAAAGTCAGGCAGCACCTCTTCACCTCCAGAGGAGCTTGACTCTGGTTTGGATGACCTGTCTGTCAGGTCTCAGGATACCACTGTCTTGGAGACCCTTTCCAATGACTTCAGCATGGATAACATAAGTGACAGCGGTGCCTCCAATGAGACCATGAGCGCCCTGCAGGAAAGTTCTCTAGCGGATTTCTCTCTGCCGCAGACCCCACAGGCCGAAACTCCAGCAGAGTGCAGGGCTGAAGGCATCTCCAAGTCTTTCAGTGACCCTGGCTGTGATTCACCCGCATCTGCCTTGGCAGACTCCATGCTGATGGATGACCAGCTGGAGTACCACGCTGGTCTGCTGGTTCAAAACGCCATCCAACAAGCCATAGCTGAGCAGGTGGATAAAGGAAACCCAAAGGATGATGAAATCCCAGCAGAGAAAGAGGTCTCAGCCAAAGAGCAGCCAGCCAGCACCAGGCCAGCTCCAGTCTCCAAGGAGCATCAGAACCCAATGTTTGAGCCACCCCAGGTGTCTTCACCAGTTCAAGAAAAAAGGGACACCATACCAAAGACTTCAAAAGAGGAAGACTCAGGACTCAGGGAAGGGAAGAGTTTGCAGCAGTCACCCATGTATTCAGCCAGCCAGCCATTCCTTGTGGAGGAAAACAGGCATGAGGTCAGCTATTTCAGCAAGTACTCAGAGGCAGCAGAGCTTCGGAGCACCGCCTCTATCCTGGCCACACAGGAGCCTGAAGTGACCGTGGGCCCTTTCAAGTTACGGTCAAGGAAACAGCGGACTTTGTCAATGATAGAAGAGGAGATCAGAGCTGCCCAGGAACGAGAAGAGGAGCTGAAGAGGCAGCGGCAGGGTCTGCAAATGGCACCAAGCCCTGTTACAAAGAGCGCACCACCCATGCCCACCAGAACCGTGTCTTACAAAACTGCACCAGGTAAGAGCCCAAAGTGTCAGAGCGGAAATGAAATGGGACTGAATGGTCAGGTATGGTTTAGATTTTATGTCATTTTTTAAATGAAAATATTGTTTTGCAGGGGGTGGGAGGGCAGGTGGCTTCATCTGCTTGGAAACTGCATGGGGCAGCTTAATTTTCTGGCCATGTGCACACCTGCAGAAAGTTATGTTTTTTCACAAATACAGTGCAGAGATGCTGATAATCTTTACTAAACCCTGTTCTGTGTTCACTCACTGCCACATTGTAGCATGATATGTCCACTCCAGTGCTCAGACCACCCAGTGAAATTTAGGATCATCTCAAGGAAGTACAGCAGCAGTTTTTACAGCTGTGTGGCTATTTGAAAGACAAACATCCAAAGCCTTCCTTAATAGGCTTCCTGTTCTCTTGTACGTCATTTGGGAAGGAGATGTGCAGATTCTGGGATATGAATCAGATTTCTTTTTCTGGATGTTTTGCTCTCTGTTTTGAGGTCTTGGTCTTGATGAGCTTTGTCTTGTAAAATGTTATCTAGAGCTATGAGTTGCCATGTATTTTAGCTGATATTACTCACTACTGAATTATAACAGGCATCACAAACAAAATGTTCTATAGATTCAGCAGAAGTCCTCTTGACTGATCAGTTTCTGAGTTCTTCTGCTGACATTCACAGCAGTTACAGGATATCTTTCTCCCTCTTCCCCTTCTCAAGAAATAATACCAAGCACTGATGCCTTCTAAATATAATACAGAAAAAAATACATCTTAAAAATCCCCAGAAACACACACCAGGCTTATTTCTGTGTAGTGATTTTTATTAAGCATATGCATATGCTTTGCAAGTGCCTGTAAGATTTAACAACAGTGGTCATCATGAAAAAGTATTAATTTTACCAAGAGTACTTAAATTTCTTTAAGTACTTGTCTTTATTTCTAGTGGTGTAAATACGAACTAGTGGTAGGCATTTTCTTTTGAAAGTCATTGTAAGCTTGAATAAGATGTAGATTTAGCCCGTTACTCAATATAATTGTGAACTTGGAGTTTTATGTAGCACATAAATAGTGAATACTTAGTTTTGTTTCTTCTGCTAAGAGGATGGTCTTAACATGTATTCTTTGAAAAAAATGTAGCAAATACCAATCTTTTCTTTGAAGTGGTGTTATTATAACTCCTCCAGCACAGCATTTTTCATAAGGATCGTCTTGAATCTGAGGTGTTCTGAGAAATGTCTGACAAGATGTGAATACAGGGCACCACAGACGTCAGTTAGGAGTTAGGAGGACTTTGTTTCGTAAAGGTGTGCTCACGACTGTGTTCAAAAACAGTATCATCTGTAGCTGAAAGTGCTCAAAATGGGGTAGATAATGATTGTATTTTACTTAGAAGTGATGTTGGATGGGCTGCTGACACTAATGCTTGTTTCAACAGAGCTTCTGGGAAAACAGTGTACTTCTGCTTTATCTACACAACAAGGCATTTACTTTGTGTCTGTAAAAATGCTTGTCGTAAACTACATTCTAGAGAAAATTATAAACTTCTGTTTATAATGAATCATTCCAGACAGTTTCCTTTAGATGTCCAACTGCCATATGTTCAAGAAAGAGAATTGGGATCTCGTAGCCAATGACTCAAGCTACTGCAATTTGCAGCCGGTGACAAGGCAAAGAAATAATTTCTAGGAAAATATGAATATGTGGCAGTGTTTCAGAATATCATTGATAAAAAAAAAACACTAAGAACATTGCCAAAGTTCTTAGTTCTTCTACTTTTGGTGCTTTCTGAACAGCAGATGTGCTCAGCATAGCTCTCATCTGCAGGACATCAGCTCAGCACCCTTAGCATTGGAAGGTGTGTAATCAGTTCATCTCTTCTCTGCTGTCCCTTTAGCCAGCTGTATTGCTGTTAATGCCTGCAGGCATCCTTAGAAATAGGGTGGAGGAATATCCCTTGCAAGATTGCAGAAACTTCCCTTTTATTAGTTACAGGATCTTTTCAATACTTGTGAAAAAAGGATAAATATAATTTAGCAGAGGCACAAACATCAAGCTGTTTGGGTAGACAGAGGTGACATTCAGAGCAGAAAGGAAAAGCTGCTTCTGGTCGGCCCAGTAAGGAATATGCTGTAGAATATGTCTGGTACTGCAGTATGTATATCTAGTTTCACAAAGAAAAGTAATTCTACTACTGATGATGATGATGATAATGATAATAATAATAATAATAGTAATAATAATAATAATAATAATAATAATAATAATAATAATAATAATAATAATAATAATAATAAAGAAACTGAGGTATTTCTGTCAGCAAATTGCCTTTTTAAAATAAAGAATTGGCACTAACATCAGGATAACACAGGAGAAAGGTATTAAGGAGTCAAGTATAAATTTGAAAAATCTGTTTCTAATCCTTAAGTGTGGAAGTTCATACTCAGTCTTTTGAGAAGGTATAATAATAAAGTTCATTATCAATGGCTTAGCAATCAGGCTGATTTTAGGTGGAGGTCTGGACAAAGTAGCTTTAATAGGACTCCTGGTGTTTCCTGATTATTTATTACTGCTGCTCCCCTTCACTGCTTTGAACCAGGTGGACACTTAGCTAGGTAACAGAAAGACAAACTACAGAAAGAGGCTGCCATGAACTGCACTGTAATTTAACTGAAGTGTGGCAGATTAACACAATTCATATGGTGTATGTGCTCAGTAACTGCTAATTACATCAGATGGCTTTACTCACCGTGACATGCAACTTTCATAAAACTAATGGTAACACTCAATTTGTCTGCCAGTCACCCAGGACAATGCAAAAGGTCGCTTAGTAATAAACATACGTACTGCTAACAGTTGTCCTTTAAAATTGTTTGTTGATGCTTCAAGGCAACCTTTCAATCCATCTCAGACCACTGAATTGAGACACAGCATAATTTCAGTGAAATGTATACACTGGAGAAGACCTGTGGGGCAATCCTGGAAAGGTAAAGATGAAGAACCTTTGAATTTTTCCAAAAAAAGTTGGCTTTCTTGCATGAGGAACCTCAAGATAGACCAAAAATTGCCAGAGTATTGTTGTAAGGATAGTCACCATGTATCCCAACTGTGAGGGGTGTGTGTGTGCTGACCTTTTCTTTCTTCTCTCTGCTTTCTTACCGTGAATGGCAGCTATGGAGCCAAAGACTCTGTCAGAGAAACTGCTTCAGCCTCAAAACCATTTTCCACTTCAGTTTTTCTCCAATAAAGACCTATGTTTAGGAAGCTTCTCAGGTTCAGCCATAGCATGAGGATACTTTTTGTGTGGTGGTAAGAGAAGCAGAAACTTGGAGGCAAGATATTTTGTGGTCATTGCAAAATTTTTAATGCCTTTTTTCTCCAAGGATTCCTCTGGAGTGCTCATCAGTCATCCCCAGAAAATTTCCAGGAGTGCCTTAACAACATACTAACCCAGCTCATTTGCTTTTTGCTTTCTTACTCCCTCCTACTGGAAGATGTCTGTGAAGTGAGAATCTTGGAGAGGTTCTTTATTTACTGTTTGCTTGTTCGTGATTTTGCGTATTTGCATTGCTCACCTGGTGCTCAAGAAGAGTAAAGAAGCCCACATTTCACCTGGTGTGGTAATGAGGCTCTGTATTACTGGAGGGATCTTTTCTTTGATGTACTTCAGCAATCCCCTGACTCCAGCACAGACTGGTTTCCTAAAACAACCTGCCCTGCTGAAATGTCTTATTTTGAAAATTTTTCTCTGCTATGCAAATAGCTTTAAAAAATTTCAACAGCATCTCTAAGTAAAAAGTAAACATGTATATGTAGATGTGGGATGCTGTAGGTTCATATAAATACACATATGTATAATACATGTTACATATATTGTATACTTACATATATATACACACATGCAATACAAAGCTTGGAGTCAGTTATTCTGAAGGTCTTTTCCAACATAAATAGTTTTTGATTCTGTGATTATAAAAATTGAAGAGTTCATCCAGGGTGAACAGTTGTGCTTGAAGATAGCCCCTTTCTTTAATGGAGATCCCCAAAACCTATTTGCATTGTTTTCCAGGCAAAGGGGAGTGAAAGGATCTCTTTTCAGCCATTAGTTTTGTCCACAGATTTGAGCATCCTGTGGTGTGTCTGTATCCCTGGAGAAGGTACAAGTTGGGCAGGGATCTGAGAAGCCTCATTCTTCCTTCATTGCTTCCATCCATCCAAGGCAATTGCTAGTGTAAGAACGAAGCAATACAGGAAGATCTCTGACCCTTAATCAGGCCTTTCATTTTCAGCACACTTTTTTACCCACTGGGCCTAACTGGCAGGGTGACAGTAGTTTCAAGTCTCTCCTGCAGTCTAAGTCCTGCACACATGGATGCAGCTGGGCAGCTCAGGACCCACTGTTGGCCTCTGTTTTGGCAGCACAACCTCTGTTTGTCTGAGCGAGTCCTGATGCAACGCAGAGAAGAACCTGGGGCCATAGAAACTCCCCCTCGAGTCTCTGGTAGGGTGGTACAAAGAGGGTGGATTCCCAGCCACATCACCTCACTGCCCAGGTTAAATTAAACCTGTAATGAAAAACTAATCATGCTGGGTTTTTCAACATTGATCAGATATTTAAAAAGCCTGGCAAGGGGAGTTCTTGTAAAAATACTTCAGCAGTGTTGGCTCACTTCTTTCAAGAATAAATCCTGTTGATTCTTACAGGAGATTTCAAGGCTGCTCTCTAGTGGCTGCAACTGTCATGATGCTTTTTGCCTTTTGAAGGACCAGCTAGGATTTTCATTTGTTTCAGCAACAAGTTTCCTGAAAATCAGCATGATCCTTCTGTTTTTTCCACTTATTTATAAGGGGTTTGCAGTGGGTATTTTTCTCCTTTTATGGTATTATTCTTTTTACATGCATTGAAGTGTCTTATTTCAAAGAGTTGGTGATGGTCCCGTAGAAATGTGATTTTGATTCAGCATTTCTTTGTCCTATCACAGCTGAGAGCCCCCACATATCATTCCCGTGAGCTGCCACTGTCGTCCACATTCTCCCCAGCAGGACATGGTGGGTGGTTCACCCCAAGTCAGTGCCTGCTGATGAGAAAGGCAAGCTGCCCTTCCCAAAAAAGCATGGGTTGTCCACCTGTGAGCTCTCCTGCAGCTTATAGTAGCAGTGTCTTGTTCTGGTGTGCCTTTGTGGTCAGTGTGCTCAAAACAGTGACCTTACATTGGGTGCAATGGGGTCAGCCAGAGAGAAAAATCAGTTTTCTCTGGCTTTCCTTCAACAAGGAGAAAACTCAAAGGCCCTATCTGAACCAAGAGTTTATAGGACAGGAGAGCAGGAGCACTCTGTGCAACCTGCAGGAAGCTGCTGCAGGGAAGAGCAGCACTTGGGATTGACCCAAAGCCTTTCTTGCTTATAAAGCAGATAAAAAGCACTGGAAAAAGAGAAGGCAGCTGTGTTTAAGAAGACACCTTCTTTGGATGTCTCATGCATGGTCTCTGTGTGTTGCATTGGCTAAGCAAGAAGAAAATCATCTTGTGGTTTTCCAGAATCTTACAAACATTTCCAAATTGCATAAATGTATCCTGTAGGAGGAAACGGTTGTTTCAAGCAGGTAATTTTGTAAACTGTGATTTTGTGAAAGAATTTTGTAGTGTTTTGGTGTAGTGGATTACAGGAAGAGGGAGAGTTTTTTAAAGTGCATGACCAACCTGATATAACAGATTATTTCACAGACTTCATTCCAAACTGCTTCCTTGTTCAAAACCTGCTGAAAATAATTCTCCAGCTGTCATCTTCGGTAAACAATTTGTGATTCCTCAGCTTAGAAAGGGTCATTCTTTTTCATGTCATTGCAGGGAAGATAGAGAAGATCAAGCCTCCTCCATCCCCCACCGCAGAAGGCCCTGCCTCACAGTTGGACCCTCCACCTGAGGAGTCTGCAGGAGCCCAGCGACCCAAGAACCTGATGCAGACCCTCATGGAGGATTATGAAACACACAAAACCAAGAGACGAGAAAGGATGGACGACAGTGCGGTAAGTGCAGTTCTCCTTCTCCCTTTTTGGTCTCTGATAGAGACCATGACTCGCAAGAACCAGCAGACACTGGAAAAGATTATTTAACCAGAATCTGCTCAGATCACCTTGCAAGTGGGTAAGGATGTTAACACATCATAAGGGGCAGGTGTTCAAAATAGAAGGAGGCAGGCGAGTGAGGAGTGTGCAACTGCACACTCATATTACATTTCATTTTAGTTAATTATGCTAACTAATAATAAGAACAGTGGGTAGCTGCCCTCCAATTGGTTGATTCTGTTAATTCACACATCACCAAGACCCTCCAATGTGTTATTTCGGTGACACTTTGAAATTTGTGGATCAAGCATGTATTCACACCTGTGAATACAGGTAAACACACCTGTGTTTGTAGACCCCCCCAAAATACAGTCCAAGTGTGCTCAGTCTTCACTTTAAGTTGGTAACTTCCCCAGAAGCCACACATTGTGGAACTAGACTGGGAGTGTCTCAAAAGTTAACTTGGATCCTTCAACAGCCAGCATGTTGTTGTTGGATTTGTTGTCTTTCTTCCACATGAGCAGTAGTAGTTTATCTGAATTAAGGTGTTCTTTATTAAAGACACTAATATGAAGACCCACAGATTTTGTAACTGGAAAATTCAGGAAAATCTCATTGTCCTAAGAGAGCATGAACTTTTTCTTATTTAGAGTCATTATTATTGTGCAATATGCAGAAGATAGTCAGATACAAATTCAATATCAAACTCCTTAAATGGGCACAGTGTTTGCTGAAGCAGCCAAAGTCCTCCAGACATTTCCCAAAGATGTCTGAGCAATGACCCTACTGCCAAGGACTCTCCAACAAACTGCTTTCTAGTAATGCTCATTAAAGGCAGGCTCTCATTAGGGGTATAGATGTAAGTGAAGGTTTGTAATATGAATACTGCACTGGCAGCTTTTAATCACTACTTGTGAATATTGCACAGTAGCAAAAGGTACTAAAAATCAGAAGGAATGGACTATGGACTGTTGCACTTTTTTGCACTAACTGAAAATGCAGATAGATTTCATTTCCAGTGCACACCAGAAACTTTCTGGTCCCTTATTCTACTGAGGCCACTGAAAAACAAGGTTCCATTGTGCATCAGATTTCTATAGCAGATAGAAAGCCAGCTTGTACACAGGAGCATGCCTCATTCTGGCAGAGGTATCTTGGGGCAACATCATAGGAAGGAGCCGTTCTGGTTTCCTCTCCCTCCGCAAAGCACCCAGTGAAATGGGGTGGCCCCACCTGCTCTGGTGAGTGCTGTTTCCGGGCATCTCCACAGAACATATCTCTCTGAAGATGCTCAGAGGCTTGCAGGGCAACTCTCTTGACCTTTGCAGAAGCTGAGAGGAACATTAGAAAAAGCTGGGTATAAAACACCCACTGTGCAAACCAACACTGGAGTCCCATACTGAGACCATCACCCTGGTGGCTGGAAACTTCAGCTGCTTTGATAGTGGGGTGGCACTCAGCTTGTACGCACCCTGTGCTCTTCCTCTGCCCCTGTGAAGAGTGAAGGTGACCTGCCCAGCCCATGAAGTGGTGGCTTTTGGCTGAAATCTTAGCTCCTGCTCATTTACCTGAGCAGAGTTCCTCAAGTGTTTGCAGAGATGCAAATGTACTCTGCAAAGCAGACTGACCACAGTTGCCTGGTCTCTGCTACAGTTTGAAGTGATGTCAGTGCTGGTCAGTGGTCTGGGCAGTGTCTGAGGTGCTCTGGGTGCCATCTCAGCTCTCCACTGCTGCCCAGTCACTGACCGCCTAAAGATGCCCTGCCAGAGCATTGGTGTCACTCAGACACCTGTGGGATAGATCCTTCTCTGTCACGAATTTTCAAGGCTTCAGTGAATTTGCAGAGTCACAGTGCACACCAAAGTCCCACAGTGCTGAGATTTGTTGTCATTCTCCTCTTCTGTAAGCCCACTGCATGAAGCCAAACAAGATGTTTTTGCTGCTGCCCACCCAAAATGCTATTAGAGGTCTGTGTCCTGCAGAGCCCAGGGAGAACTTCCCGAGATCAGCAGGAGTGTTTTGTTTCTTTCCCCTGGCTTTTTCCGCTCTCCTTTGGTAAACAACTCTGCTATTGACAAGGGAAAGATAATTTTAATAAGAAATGCTGCACTTGTACTGCTGTCAGTTTGAGTGAATATTTTTACAGTCCAGGCTAAGCAACTATTATTTAAAAAACAAATAGCTTTCATTTGTCAGCAGAGAGCATTTAAACAGTGTTCTCAGGAAAAAAGGGTTTCTGTAACTAAAAAAGCAAAATAGCAAATCAATGCACTATTTTTAAAAATACATTAAATACAGTGGGAGAAGGAGCATAACTGACAACTAGACAGCTGCTACTTGGAGTATCATATCCTGAGAGCTGAGTGTGGCTCAGCGTTGCTCTTTGTGAGTGAGGGGAACCAGAGACTTCCTCAAGTACTGGGGGCAGTCAGGGTGCCTGGCACAGCAGCCATGGTCTCCTAAGTGGAGAGATTTGTTGGAAGATTTCATGTCCACAGGAACTTCTCTCGTGCTGAGCACAGCAGCAGTACTGATGTATAGAGATCCACTTTTCCCCTGAAAAAAAAGACACAAAAAAATACAGGAGGGTGGTTTCAGTAGGACATTCACCCTCTAGTCTCTCCTTCAGGCATCACCACCTTCTGTTTCATGTCTGGCTTCGGTGGCTTTAGTGGCTATAACGTGGCCTCTCGGATCAAGGCTTGTGGGTTATGCCTTTCAGAAAGAGAGGGCAAGTGAAGCGCATCTTGGAAGAACTTTGCTGCTCAGGAAAGGGGGCAGTTTCTTCCAGAGGATGTGTTGCAGCACAGGTTTCAGCAGATGAGTGAAAGAGAAAAAGCAGCAGCAAGGAAATGGGTCAAGCACTGATGGTAAACAAGACTGAGACTGGCCAAGCAACGTCATTAAAATACTGCCACCAAACTGGCCAATACTTCCTTTTTATTTTTTATGACACTAAGTTGCTTGAAGTTTTATACTATGGAATGTGCCAGTTCTTGGAATTTCTGTAATTTGTTCTTGTTTCCTAGTTATAACATGCTTGTTCAATGTACTAATGCTGGTCTTTTCCCTTTCTACCAGTACACCTGTAAATTACTGTCTAGCAAGGTTACTTCTGAGGTACTTTTCAAGTGCTTGTTTATTTTTGCTTCTTCTTGCATGGTGATTCCAAGTGCATGTTGCTGCAGTTGTTATTTTCATAATGTGTGTCCGTGCCATTTCATATAAAAAATGTGTGTGTGTGTGTGTGTATGTGTGTGATATTCCCTTATATCTCTCATCAGAAAATACTTGTGTGGCTGGTTTTCTAACCCCTGGATTCTGGTTATAATTTCTGCCATGGGAGGGGTTGTAATTAAAGGGATGGGAGCTGTTGCCTGGGACTGGAGCATTCCTGAGGTGAGAAATGAAAACTTCCCCATAATTCCTCTTACCATTTAGCTGGCAAAGCTAAAGCTGGGATCCAAGCATCTTCAGATGCTGCATGAAATTTCTGTGGCTTTCCTTTGTCTGTGATTACAATGTATTTAATACTATCAAAATCTCTAGTATTTTGTAAAAAAACCTGCACACCACTCTTTCATCTGTGGAAGAGTCAGATCCAAGTGCATGGCCTCAGTCTGTTCCATTCTGTGAACCTTTCCTTATCCCTGTCTGTTGTGAAGTGATGACTGATCACAGTCCCACAACTTAGCATCAGTGTTTGTCTCAGGGTGGAATAAATCCAGATCTGTCCAATAAAGGGTATTTACAGTAACATTTGGTATTTTAGCAAAGTAGTAATTGGCACAGTCCTTATCCCCACAAAGCTGGACTTAGCCAAAGGCTGTAATTTTAAGAGCAGGTAGTTGATACTAACTACACTTTCACAATCTTTGTTAAGAATGAGGTGCTCAGTAACGTGTATATTTCAAATACCTATAATTTTCTCTGCAGATTGTGGTAGTGACTGATATTCATTTGTCCCACACCAGCATTTTTTTCCTATTCCATAATATACTTGACTCTATCAGCTATCTCAAGACAAGTACATGAACATTTTCTGACCTGGAGAGTAAAGCAAAGAAAAGTCTATGCCATTTCCTATTCATTAAATAATTTAGAGGAGTTTTTTATCACACTGATACAAGCCAGTGATTGATCTTTGTGTATTTATAGATAGTTAAATCAGTATCAGAGCAGTGTGCTTTCAGAGTCCTGGTTTTAAATAGACGTTATAGCCTTTTCTCCTTCATAGTATCTGCACAATAATCCAAGTCAGGATTTGTGAACAGCAAGTAGTGATCAGAGTGTTTGATGTTGTGTGAGAGGCAAAGGTTCAGGTGTAGATTTTACAGGCCCAGGCCATGGTCTTCTGCTAGGAAGAGTTTTGTGTCAACCTTGTGTAATGGTAATGATACTAAAAGTAAGGAGCTGTAAAAGAATGTGTATGAATGGGAAAGGGGCTAGAAACAAAACAGACTGTAGGACACAGCAATTCCTCATTCAGGTGAAGGGATGTTCTCTGGCTATTCCCCAGCATCCAGCCTCGGACTGAGGAAACCATGTGATTCTCACTTGAAATCTTCAGCTGAAACCAGGCAGATTGTTTCAGAGGGAACAACAAGACTCAAGACACTATATGCCCCTACTCTCCACTCACCCCACAGCTAAGCTGTGTCTCTGATTCACCAAAGCCTTCCAAAATGCACTCTGGTGCGGGCAGGTGGCTCAGATTTAATCACCATAGGCAGCACTGTAGCTGTCCCAGTTGTGCTTGCACTGGCTTGGGAGCAAGGGCTTCCATGCAGTCACCCTGACAGCTCCCTCTGGAAAGCAGAAAGCTGCTCCCCAGCAAGGCACATTAACTGCTGAAGTTCAGCTACCACAGCACCTGCATCCTGCTTCATTAGGGTGATGTCTTGCATCAGCCCCAAATTCCTGCAGCCTGTACTAAAAGCACATCCCACTGCTTTTTAAAGAGACCTATGTCCCTGCCCCCTAAATAGGACATTTTTATCTTCCAAACCTTCTGTATCTGACCTTACAGCTATACATATATTCAAATGTACAGATCATTAGCTTGAGTTTCCTTAGTACCAATCATGTTGTAGCAGATAACTGCAGTAAGGTGACTTTTATGCAATATTAAAGGCTACTGCTGAAAATTTTTGTGTTACAGAAGAGAAGATGAACATACTAGATTTGATGGCTTAGGGCACACAGTTCATGTTTTAATAGTAAGAAGCAGCAATTTTATACTGCCATTGTCTTGTTTCAAGTAAACACATTTTAATCTCTGATACCCAGCTCCTCACTGTGTTTACTAGTAGTCTGGTATTCAGTAAACAGCATTAAATAGTAACAGTAAAGAAAATACCTCCATGCTGGAGAAATAGATATTCTCTTGGTAGTTCTAGTTTTATTTATAGCATTTAGTTTACCATTCCTGAGCAGGAATGCTCACATCGGCAGGAACAGGCAGCCAGTTCCCTGCATTTGTGCTTCCATCTCTTTATGCACACTGTGCTCCAGGAATGTTTTCTGAAGCAACTTTACCACATAGCACTCACAGATTTTAGACATGCAGACATTTGCATTTTCTGATGTCTTTTTTACTTTTAATTCTTCCAGATTCAGATGGGAAGAATCAGTTTAATATTAAACCTCAGAAAAGCTGTTTCACATCCACATCAGATTTGCCCATACTGTTCAACAAAAATTGTCTTGAACTATATAGCAGTCGGTTTTCTGACTACTCAGAAAACACCACTACTTCAGTGGTTGTGATAAATATTATTTCAGCTAAAGCGTGTATATAAATATATATTGCTTTCTATTGTTGTCAGTAAGACAGCAGTTATTAAAGTTGTAAGCTATGTACTGGATTTGTTAAATCTGATAGAGGGAAACTCAGTGTGGGCTAGTCTCCATCTTTAAGATGGATAGAAAAATTATTCATGCACCTAACATTGGCAGCTGTTTCAATTTTTTTCCCCCCTAAAATCCCCAAAAAATAAATTAAATATTCAAGGAAAGAACCCTCTGCAATTCTTAGCAAGACCTCAAGCTGCAACCACAAGATCAGAAAAAATCTTCTGCAGAGATATGAAGAGCAGTTTTTACAGCCCTACATATCTTTTGCTTTTCCCTCAAACCTACTTCTGCTCTCCAAGTTCTTCTTTTTCTACTACAGCTGGTATTCAAATCACCTCTGCCAAAGAAGACATTTTATGTAACATTGCTTTTTTCCCTGATGCCTTTTCATTAGGACATAGTTCATAAGCTGAAGAAGCCTAAGTTTAAGTGAAGCATCTGCTTCATGATCTTCCTGCTGCATGCAGTTATGGCCCTGGCTGCCTTAGGACACCCTGAGCAGCAAGCCTGGCCCTGCCTGCTCCCACTCAGCTGATGCAGGGCATCATCAAGGACGGTGCTTGGGAAGCATCAAGGTAGCATTCTTGTCTTGGTGTGGAGAGCCTGGGGATGCTGCACTCATTGTGGGTCTAGAGACAGCCCCGAGACAGGCCAAATATATTTTGAAATGGAGTCAGTTGGCTATTTTTAGGCAAGCAGCTTCCTGGGTCATGAATTCAGTGTTCCATTGAGGAGTCCCAATTCCCCACTCAGTCATTCCAGTTGCATGCTATAATTATGCCACTGTTTCCTCTAGCGGGTCTAAAACTGCCACAGCCTTGTGAAAACAAGGGTTGTTTTAGGTCAAACGCTCTTTTCAGTAGATTAGAAGAATTATTCTGGGATAACTATGCAAAAGGATCTTTAGTTTATATGCTATACCATTTAGTGTTAATACTGAGCCCCAGGCTTGCTTTCCTGCAAGGTCGAAGACTACGTTCAATGCCGTCATGGTACCTCTGATATGAATCTGGATACAGTTTTGCTTGGAGAGCCAGCAGCATTTGTAGAAGCAGACAGACTTGGGGTAGGTGTGCAGACCAGGGATAAAGGGAAGAAACCGTATTGCCATCTTTTAAGACAAATACAAGCTGACTGATCCAAAGCATGAATCTTCAAAGTTTAAGTATCCTGACTGTTCTGGTCCATCACCAGAGACCCTCACAGTACTGTGATGTCCAGTAAAGAAGCTGGAGATTTCAAACTGTTCTAAACTATGTAAAATCCATTTTATTTTCAACTGACATATATTTGCAGGCCAAATTCCACAGACCTTATTTAAAAATATAGTGGCAGTTTTAATTTGAAATTTATGCTGAATGATGCACTGATACCTGCTTCCACTTTTGCTTCTGTTGTTCAATTTGGGGTGTCTTTTCTGGGTTCAGGCATTCTGCAGGGGGAGTAACTCCAGTACACAGCTTACAGGCTGATATCTCAGACCAATCTTTTCCTACTGAATTTTTTGGGGCAGTTATTAATTTATTTATGTATTTATTTATTTATTTATTAATAAGTTGCTAGGTTTATCAGCACATTTGCCTTCTGCTAGGATAAAAAGAAACCGCTTAGCCCTGGTGCCTCCTTTTGGTGGTTGTTCTGCAAAAAGAGAGGGCATGATTTTGGGCAAAATTTCAGAACAAAATCCCTCTAGTGGACCTGGACTAACTTTGTAGCCATGGTCAGTGCTGAGCATGAGATGGAGTTTTTGTTATAATTCATCTCTGTTGGCCAGATTTTGTCTTCAGTTCTTTGGCCTGTTCATAGTCATAGTCAAAAGAAACTGAGAAGGCAAGGAAATAGTAATGCTGGCAGAAGTCCATCCTATCTTCAGCTTCTGAATGAAGGTCTAGAGGTTACAATCAGCATAACTGCAGTAGTGCATTCTCATTCCCATGAGCAAAGTTATGGTGGCCTGTAATTTCAGCTGGCAGTTCAGAGCAGATTTTCTGATACTGCCTGTACAGGAGCCTAGTACCTGTGTACTCTTCCAGCCACAGCTTGTCACAAGCTGGAAGAAGAATTTCTTTAGTCTTAAGTTTTATTGTAGTCAAGGCTTCAGTCCTTACTGCTCGTGATTTTCTTCACAGAAGAGTGAAATACCATCATCCTATCTCAAAAGGTCATCTGCTCTTCTGCAGTCAGGGAGTGTGCGGAGCAGCTTGCAGGAAGCATTAGGGACGAGGCATGGCCAGCATTGCTTCAGTGAAGAGTCATGTATTTGTTGTGGGATTTTTTTTAACTGATGTAAAAAACTTCAAAAGTTTGCTTCTTTGGGAGGAATGGTTAAAACACACTTGGGGGAAGTTGACATTTCCAGCTCTGTAGTTTCATAATGGAGCTGTTATTCAGTGTTGGTCAGAGAATAACATTGTCATGTGCTTGTGTAAGAAGGCTCCAGACCCCTTTATATCTCACTGCTGTGTGGAAAACACCCACAGCCATGCATTATTTGCTGAGGACTGCCTCTGTCACATCACAATAATGCCTTTTGGTGTTGTCTCATTTTCCTTTTGACTTTCTCAAAACACATGTTAAATCTGTTTCTTACATTTTTAGTTAATTGTTTATGTGTGTGCATATGTACACTCTGTGTGTGTATACCTATGTGCATGATGTGTGTGTATGAAATGCATAAAAATGTATCGGGCCCATCTTGTGCCAGGCTTTGTAGGCTTTCCTTGTGTAAATCTCCTTTTGCATGTGAGTGATTTTTCACTCCAGGAGCACTTTTGATCACAGTGTGTGGTAGCTGCCACCCAACGACCACGAGAAGGGGCAGAGTCGGGGGGCAGGCGCTGCCTGGTCCTTCCTGAAAGGGTGACGTACTGATAGAGGCAGCTGTCTGCTTACTGGGCTTCATGTGCAGCTCCAGAGCAGCCTGTGGACAAAGCTGCAGGCTGCTTGCTGGCTCCTGGTACTGAAGGTGTGCAGTTTTAGTTTAAAACTTAACTAAACTTGACCCTGGGGAGGAGGCCGAGACCCTGGGACGGGGCAATTGCAGCTGGCCTGCTAGAGGTCAGCTGGGGCTGTCTCTCTGCAGAGAGTTGGACACTGCCAGATAGCTCCTACCACTTCTGTCCTCCTGTGGTGTGACTTTGCTCCTGTGTGCCATCCCCCCACTTTCACATCATCAAGTGCTTCATGGCATGTCTTCCTTCTCTGCACAGGCTGTGGCACTGCAGCCCTGTGGGGAGGGCTGGCCCGGCTGGTCCCTGCCCAGCTGGCTGGTCCCTGCCTGCCTGGCCACACAGTGTGGGACACCCTGGGAGCAGGGCCAGCTGAGTGACAGCCTGTGCTTTCCTTTTCTCTCCTGACCAGGTCCTCGAGGCAACCAGGGTGAACCGCAGGAAGAGCGCTCTGGCGTTGCGCTGGGAAGCTGGCATTTATGCCAACCGAGAGGAGGACGAATAACCACGCTGCAGTGTGAAGACAGCAACCAGGCATGCCGGAACCAAAAAAAAAAAAAGAGAAAGGAAGAAAGAGGAAGAAAGAAAAAAAAAAAAAAGCAAACACAAAAACCCACCATGAAAGCAGCAGCATTTTAGTCCAATATTTATTAAATACACGACAAACTCGATGCACATAGACACAGAAATGATCCAGCTCCTGGCAATCCTAAAACTACAGGAAAAAACACACCTAGAAAACAGCCCCTTCTTCTTCCCTCCATCTCCCCTCTGAAATAATGCAATGGAGAGGGTGCAGGGGGTGGGAGCCCTTGGGGGTGGGCACAAGAGGGTTACTGTGCCCACGGACCAGACAGGCTGCAGGCATGTGGCAGGAGGTCATTCATGGAGGAGTCTGCAGCCAGGGCTCACACTTGTATTTCTCGCTGACTGAATTGCCAGCCCTGCCTGCCCCCAGGACCACGGTCCACCCAGCAGCTCCTGTCAGAACCTCCTGCAGTTCCTTCGCCTCCCACAGCCACTGCACAAAGACTGTCGGCGCTAATTCGGCATACTCTTATCCAGCCACAGAACACAAAGATACTGCCCTCTGTTCTATTTCTTTGAGGAGACTGAAGGGTTGCGTTTGGGATTGGGTTGGTTGGTTTTTTTTGGGGGGTGGGGGGGGGTGGGTTCTGCTCCCCTTTCTACTAATTTATTTGTTTAAAACAAGAAAAACCCAACAAACAGGGAGGCAGTTACTGCAAATGTACAATCCAGCAAACTCAGTCAAACAGTCCTTGTGTTGCAAACACAAGCCATCACAATTTAGGAGTGGAATAGATGGGGATGAGAGCTAAGCCAAATGGATTACCTTAGCTTTAGGATCCTATATGCTTGCAATATCACCTGAACTCCAGGTTCTCAGAGCATATTTACGCAACAAAGTTTCTAAGTAGAAAATCTGTATTTAGCGGATGACAACTATTTTTTGATGGTGGGGTGGGAAAGAATGGCATATATGTAAAATCTTTGGAGATGGATAATTTGAAGTAGAAAAGTAGTGGGAAGGGATACAAATAAAGGACATTTAATTTTTAAATGAGGCAATAAATGAACTAAGCCAGACTCTGGCCTAGAAAGAGGTATGAAATAAAGAAGAAAGATAGTTATGTCTTCAACTATATTTATACAACTTTGAAAGCCTTTGAAGTAGAGTGCTTTGTGGAAGTCTTCACGTTTCCAGGCAACAAAAAAGCTAAAGGGCATAATGAATTGGAAGGAATGAGCAAGGAAGAGCAGGCAAGGGAAGAAAATATTAATTTAGCCATTCAGCCAGTGTTTTCAGCGCTACAAGCAAACCATAGAGCCTTTAGTTATTGCTTAGGCTTGGGATCAGCAGTGAAGGATTAGTGTGGATGTGTGTGGGTGGGTGTGGGTGGGTGTGTGTGGGGGTGTGTGCGTGAGTGCATGAGGCTGGCATACCAGGAAGTGTATGCAGTGTGTGTACTGATTATTTTCTCCACAGCTGTTTACCAGCTATAGGGGTGAGTGCTATTTTTTTTTTTTTTTTCCGAAAGGGGATATAAAAATAAGGCACTGAGTTAATGCAGTATTTGTGATATGAAAATTTGACCCCACATGGTATTTGCATGAGTCACAATTGCAAAGTATTGACCAGTTTTGTAAGCTGACAATTAGGAAAAGAAATGTGGTATTTATTCTTGTGCTTTGTATTTGTATGTAGTATAGAGGCTGTGGGTTTACTCTTTCTTATCACCAAGCAATACAGTAGGAATATTTTACAACTGGGAGCCATAATTTCTGGACTAGAAACCAAAACATTTGGGAGGTGATGGGGAAAAAGACACCAAATATTTTTTTCTCTAAAAAATAGTCTTTGTTTTTTATAATCAGTTATTATTTTGACATCTTTTAAAAAAATCATCAGCCAGGATACTGTGTCCTCCCTAAGCCTTTCCTTGGTTTCACGACCTGCTGTGCTGTTTTATCCTGAAACAGTGAGCTCATTTAAAATGAGTACCGATACTGTGAACATACTTCTGGTGCTTTTCTTAAACAAACACAGAGCTTGCAACCAAATTATTCACCACCACACCCTTCAGTTCCTCCGGCATGTGATTTCTGTCCATGGACACTTACAATTTTGAGGCTTATTTTCAGGGAAAATTAGTAAGTACATTTATACCTACCCATTGGCTCAGCTCTTTCCATTTTCTCTGTAAGTGCTACTGAAGAAAACATGCTAAACCGAGAGTTCACTGTGATGAGGGCAGTGAGCTTATCTCAAGGAGAGGCGCCATGGGGAGGCTCCATGCCTGTGAAGGAATTACATACCTAATGAAGGGGACTTGTTTTTCAGGCAGGGTAATCAGGGGTGATTCATGTCTCGAGGTGGGTTGTTACCATATAACTGTAGGAAAAGCACCAACACCAGTGCAGCACTAGTGAGACCGTATGTCGCGTAGCTGCAGATGTGAGCTCCACGCACCCATGTCAAGAAGATTCCTTGCCTTTGGGGAGAGCTTGAGACAAGGAAAAAGAGGTTTTCTGAGAATGGGAGATGGCCTCTGTGGTGTGGTGGTCTTGCAATAAATGGCACTCATCAGAGTTTTCCCCCAGTATTTGTTCCTGAAAGCTGGGTCAACCCTGGACTGCCTTCCCAGGAGCTTACATCTTTATTTTCTTTAGTCTGTAGGCCTGTTTCTCCCTCCAGCTTTCTCACTGGAAGCCAGTGACAATAATCACCCATCATAAGGCATCTTTTCACGCATTGTTCTGTGTGATAGGAGCATTTGCTTTCAGCCCCTGCAACAAAAGTATTTCAGTCCAAGATAGACAGACTTTTCACCCAGCACAGTTTTTCTCTTCCAGAAATTATGGACATTTACAGTCAGCAGCACATTCAATGCTGTGGTAACAAGAGTGAGATGCAGTTTCCTTGCCTCTGTTATTTCATTTGCATGCTACCAAGCTTAGGTGTTTATAAGTATATGGCAGTAATACATATCTATCTATATATGACTATATCAAATGCAACAAAAGAGCACTATTGCAGAGTTAACTTTGTCTCCACAAAAGAAACGCTCAGATCCTTTCCCGTGGCAAAGACTGGTTTTAATGAAACTGTGTATTGAGAAATAGTTGTTAAGCATTAGCATTTGTGATTTTAAATTGGTTTGGGATTACAGTGCAGGTTTTCTGAACAGTTTGTTTTTAAAGCTGCCGATTTGGGCTTCATCTTGCTCTGTACTGACATTTCTGAGGGAAAACAGAGTAGTATTGACATGTTTGGCAACCAAAAGGCAGCATCTTTGTCATGACTTGTCAACCAGTTTCAACAATACCTGGCTTTCTGTATGTTAACCACTTAAATGTTATCCTGCTTCTGTTTTATAGTGACTGTGAGGCCTACAATGCAAGTATATAATTATTTTCTCATTAAAATAGAAACCTGTGTTGTGTTTCTATAAAACTGCCTGTTTCTTCATGTTGTTGCAGGAAGGTGTGTCCCTGAAAGCTGCCTGTGGCTGGAAGAGTGGCCTGTGTCCCACCTCCCATGGCAGTTGGTCTCTTCCCGTGGCTCTTGACTTGGTGTCTCTGTCTAGAGGTGGGAGAGATCTCTCTCCACTTGGTGGTGGCAGCTGCAGGAGCAAGAACATCCTTGCCTATTTCTTTTCCACTGTCATGCTTGTGGAAGCTTGCAGAAGCTATATCTGCTTTATGATGAATCTCATGACCACTCTTTCCTTGCTTCCTTCGCCCCTGCAGGAACCCCACTGTCCTGCATGGCAGAGCACACCCTTTCAGCCATTTGTCCATTTATCACATGCCTGGCTGCAGCAACCAGCTGCTTGCCATTGCCCCTCACTCCCCCTTCACGGTCAGCCAGACCAGGGGAGATCCCATCCCTCACCCATGCGAGGAAGCTGCTGCCAGCTTTTCCCTGCTGGAGCTGGGAGGTGCCAGAGCACCATGTGAGCCTCAGAAGGACCATGGGGACTTGCTGGGATCCAGCCAGGTTCATGCCAGCCTCTGTCCCTCCCTGTGCTGGAAATAGTCAGGTATTTAACCCTCTGTGGGAAACAGCAGAGGTGATTTTGGTGGGAGTTGGCTAGGGACAAGTGCTGCCTCCCATCCATGGTCTCCATAACTCCAACCCTCCTCTCCTTGTGCGGATAGTATCAGAAATGCCTATGAAGAAAATCAGTTGTGGATTAACATTCCAGTTAGTAAATGGAAGTCAAGAAATGGGATAGAGAACAAGCTTGAAAATTCATCTGTCCCCTCTGGCCCCTCTGTCTTTGCAAAAAAAAAAACAGGTGTTGCTACCTTCTCGACACAGGAGAGGCTTTCTGTCTTCCTCTGCCTTGCCTTGCTCTGTGCCAAGAAGGACACAGTAGGGAAAGGAATTCCTAGGCATCTTCTTTGGATTTTATGTGAATTAAAAGTGAAAATTCTCCTTTTGCAAGGGAGCATTCAGACATTGCTAAAGTAATTCAGTGGCACCAGTGAGTGGCAGCAGGTCAGGAATTTCGCAGTTCTACTGTTATCAGCTGTTGTTATCTGTTTCATAACACAGGACATTTAAAGTCCCTGTCACCCCATTGCATAGATGAAATGGCATGTACCAAACTTTAGAGTGTTTTTTACAGTGTAGGTAAGGACTATAAAAGAGCATTTTATCAATAATTTCTGGCATAGCCCCATGAAGATGGAGGTACTGCACTTCGTTTAGTTTCAGGTGGCTTTAAGAGGCCACAGCACAGTGGGAAAGCAAACAGAAAGGCAAATTATTTCCTCTGCAGAGACAGGTTTGATGAAACTGCTTTAAAAGGAGGGAGAGCATTCAGTGCAGTGCTTTCAGTCGTGAATGGGCACAGGAGACTAAAAAACCTTACAAACAGGGATCTGTAGTGTAAGGAAGCCAAGTCAGAGCACCACAAGCTGTAACAGGGTGGAGGAACAAGGCTAGGTAGGGCCAGAACTACAAATATATGCATGAACTTCAAAACTAAGGACTTCTAGTTATGTTCTAGTTGCTGAATTGACTGGGGGGGACAGTGTAGGAAACTACCGGCAGCCTGTGTCCAGCCCTCCACTGCTTCCCAGGCTAAAGGCTGAAAGCATCCTGGTGTTTCACATGGCTCAAGACTGAGCCAAGGGCTATCCTGCCCCTTCAGCAATAGCATAGGGGGAAAACAAACAAACAAAATACTGAACAGCAAACAGACTTAGCAACAGCAGAAAAATACCCAGAATGCCATCTAGACCTCATGGTTTGCTGCTAGCTCTGGCTGAGCACTGATTAATTGGCAGCATAACCCGCTGCTTTATCAATGGGGTCTTTAGGAAAAGTTTAAGCACTAAACATGGCAAGCAGTGTGAGAGCTCCTGCTCCATTCCCGGCATGTGTCAGCTCTGCAGTGAATTGAGAATGGTATGCCACCAGAAGCTGGAAATTATTCAGGTCTTGTTCCAATCTTGAGTGGGGGAGCAGTGGCAAGAAAAATTGATGGTGGAAGAAAAATGTGCAAAGCTCCCTTGCCACATTCTCTGTTACTGCAAAGGGCATGGGGAGCGTTGCATGGTGGGGATTTGTGTGGCAGCAGTGACATCTGCAGGGGGGATTGCACTGACGGTGGAGAGAGCTTCATTTCCAAGGACGGCTCCTGGAAGCTCAATCCCAGGAGCAGCCTGTCCATGGGAGGGACGTAGTGAGTGTGATGCCCCAGTCCCAGGGCCTGTTCCCTGCAGCAGCAGCCTTGCCACTAATGCAGGAAACCCTCCTGCGGCCAGCAGAGGATCAGGAAAAGATCCACGGCACATCTCACAAGTCTCCCATGGGGAGACAGTTGGGATTGGGTCCCAGAAAAAGCTGCTGTGCTTAGCATGCATACCCACTGCCCTGGTCATGCCCCTTCCTACAGGAGCCAGCCCTGCCGGGAAGCCACTGCTGGGAACAACTGCAGGCTCTGTGTTGCCTTGGCAGGCAGCTTGGTGCAGGACCGTGGCTGGAAATGCAGAACACTTGGCAAGGGGTCTTACTGCACTGAACTCTTGTTCTGGGGACTGTTGCGGGCTGAGAAGGTGGATGCAGAGCACAGGGAGGGAAGAGAAGGCTGGAAACTGCTCCTCAAAATGGGGAGGATTTCACACGGAGCCACAGCAGACAGACCAGGGCGATGCTGTCCTCATCAGGGTGTCACTGTGACTCAGAGTGAGCCAGGATGCTTATCTACAAATGATCCCCACAAGTTCTTCTTCCTCTTGCAGTATCTGAGAAATCTGAACACTCTTGGCCTTATATTAAAATAAGCATCAAGTCCTCAAGCTGCAACTGAAACACAAGTTACCAGGAAAATATTAGCAAAAACAACACAAACTTGGTTGCACAGCTCTTCACAGGACTCACACAGAGCTTCCAAAGTGTTGCAAGTAGCAATATTGCAGTGTTCAAAAGTGTTGCAGTCATTAGAAAGGGGTAAAGAGGTGTTTGGGAATCATTATCTCCATGGAGAAAGGTGGAGTTTCCAGATGCGCAATGGGAGCTGACTTGCTGAACAGCTTTGAAACCCTCACACTGTGTGGAGGTGGCAAGTATTCAGCCCTATTTAATTGGAGTGAAAGAAGGAAGATGCTAAAGTAGGGCACTTGCTCACTCTCTAAGGCTTGTTTGCTTGTAGGAGCATGGGTTTGGGGTACAGCACCAGCCCAAGGTGGATCCAGACTTTCACAGTATTACCCTTTCCTGTTCTCTGCCAACTCCTTGCCTTCTGCCATTCCCTTCTGGTTTCCACATGATGCTATTGACACCCAAAGCAAGGCTGGTTTTGGGCACCAAGATAAGACATTTCACCTTGCCTACACTGAGCCTCCTGACTGACCACCACTGGGAGGCCCTGTCAGCTTCCAGACTACCTCATTCCCTCCCTCCCTCCCTGGCTGGTTCCCTCTCCTCAGGTATTTCACTGGATTTACACTTCATTGCCAAGTCATCCCATTATCCATCCCATGGAAGATGGGTAAACTGAGAACCAGGAGATAAACCTTAAATGGACTAAATCCAAACATACCAAAGCACTTAGATATCTATATACCTGTAAGGGCCTTGCTCTTTGAGGGCTACACAGCACTAAACTCAGCTGGGAAGCTCATGGACTGAGCTTGGGCCAGTGTACTACAAAATGATGTACTACAAAATGACATGTTAGTGGGACCAACTGGAAAATGTGTTGGGGGAGAGCCATGTGAAACAAAAATCTTGTCTTGGTTGCATTACTCATGCTGAAAGGGCATGATTTCTGCTTTTCTTTAATGCCATGTTGAGGAAAACAACTGCGGAACAGAAGGCAGACTGAGCTAATATGTTTTCAAAGAAAAGGGTAGTTTTCAAAGAAAAAGTTAATTCAAACTGTGGGATTTGATGTATAAAGAAAGTGAGGATTAGCAATGTGTGTCAGAGCAGAGTGGTGTAAACAGTGGAAAACAGGTAAATAGGGGAAAATCTTGCTGATGGGAAATTTTCCTGGAGCAAGCCATTTCAGAAGCCAGCTGAAAGCATGATCAAATAATGTTTTCAGCAGGGGTGGAAAGTATACAGCAAAAAGCATATTTACCCAAGCTCTCTATAAACCACAAAAAACCCCTCTTGCCAGTTACAGCATAAGTCTCACCTGCTGCCAGGTCTGGACTGTGCTGGTACAGGACAAGATTCAGCTCGGCTCTCCTCCTTGGACACTGTTTGCTGGGTCAGTCTTCAGCAGACGAGAATCAGGAAATAGCTGAATGATATCGCTGTTCATGAGCCTTATCATTTATTGACATGAGGACTCAGAGTTTATAAATCAAAAGATATGTCTATACAGTCTGTCTAAGCTTTGCTGGGTGTTTGCGAGGAATTTATTATAAAGATGCTCAAACACTAAAGCATAAAAACAGCATTTCAGTCCCCCAGTGGGCTCTATTTTTTCAATCTTGCTTAATTTCTTATTCCCTTCCTGTATGGAAATATTAAATCAGTGTGGTTTTAAAATGTCAGGAGCTCAGTTTATTCTCCAGGCATATTCCTGCTTTGCCCTAGGCTGCTCCAGTTACATGTCCTTGCAGAGGGTGCCTTACAGTTCATGGCCAGATGTTATTTGCTAGCTGCTAATAGTTCCCACTGTCATGTTGGAGGTGACCTCTATAAAATCCCTGAAGGTGACAGCTATTTACCCTTGGAAAGTGGTGGTGTGGAAGTACATCACATGTGTCAGTGAGAGGCACGATCCCGTATCACCCACACAAGGTCCTGGCCCTGTGGCAGCAAAGCAAGCACATCTACGGTGGAGCAAGAACAAGCATCAGACATCTGGAGGGAAGAGCATGCACATGATGTGACCCTCAGCTGTGTCCTGTTGGTCTTCAGCAAACAGGAGTGTCTCAGGTCCTGCAGTGACTGGTGTTATCAGTCTGTCAGGAGGTGAGTGTAGT